AAGGAACTGCTCCCATCCAGAAAAGATATATTCCTGTGTGCCATATACATCCCGCCATCAGAGTCCCCCTACTACAGCGAAGACATGTTCTCCACATTAGAAGAAGAGACAAGCCACTTCCAGGACCAGGGATACGTGCTCATCTGCGGGGACCTGAACGCAAGAACAGGACTACAGCCGGACTTCACCGACGCACAGGGGAGCAAATATATCAACAACAAACTGACGGCTATTAATAACACATTCTCCCATATCCACAGAAATAACCATGATGCTATAGTAAATAAGAATGGAAAAGTCCTCCTGCAGCTCTGTCGAAGCCTGGGTCTGTATATCATCAACGGTAGGATACGAGGAGACACTTTAGGGAGATTCACATTTTGCTCACCTCTGGGGAATAGCACAGTTGATTATATGATAACAGACATAGATCCTTCATCTCTCAGATCATTCACTGTTAGAGAACTAACCCCTCTGTCTGATCACAGTCAAATCACTGTGCATCTCAAAAAGACAGAAAACAGCATTAACACAAAGCCCAGTAAGCTGTACAACATCAGAAAGCCATACAGATGGGCTGACAACAGCGCTGAAGAATATCAGAAAGCACTTAGCAGCCAAACAATACAAGCGCTGGTAGATAACTTTCTAAATAACACCTATGCTCACACTAATGAGGGGGTCAATCTTGCGGTCAAAGATATAAATTACATATTTGACAAATCAGCAAAACAATCCAAATTGAAAACAAAAAATGGAAAAAATCAAATACCCAAAAATGACAAAAATTGTTTTGATCAGGAATGGCAAACTATTCGCAAAAAACTGAGAACATTGTCAAATCAGAAACACAAAGATCCCAATAATGCAGAGCTCCGCCTTCTTTACAGTGAAACACTAAAACAATACAAACATACGCTCAGAACCAAAAAAGCACAATACACCCAAAAACAACTGACAATAATCGAGAAGTCAGTGAACACAAACCAATTTTGGGAAAATTGGAACAATCTGAAAAAAACTGATCATGAAGAATTGGCCATACAAAGCGGAGAAATATGGGAAAGTCATTTCCAAACATTGTTTAATAAAGTACAAACAGACACAAACTGTAAGCAAAATCAAACAATCAACCAACTGGAAAAACTAGAATTAGCCATCAAAGATAACCAAAACCCATTAGATTTCCCAATAACTGATAAAGAACTTAAAGAAAAAATCAGAAACCTCCAACTCAAAAAAGCATCTGGACCTGATGGGATATTAAACGAAATGATAAAACACACCAGCAGTAAATTCCAATTGGCCATTCTAAAACTATTCAATGTGCTTCTGAGTGTAGGTTACTTCCCTGACATCTGGAATCAAGGCTTGATAACACCAATCTTTAAAAACGGAGATCAATTTGATCCTAACAACTACAGAGGCATCTGTGTGAGCAGCAACCTGGGAAAGTTATTCTGTAGCATAATAAACGCTCGACTATTAGACTTCATCA